CTTAAGCGTGTGCGAAGACGAAAAGCAGCTGCAGTGTTTCTTGCCTTTCTGTATCAGAAAGGTACTGCAACTGTGCTGGCAACATCATATTTGCGCTTTTGCAACTGCCCTTTAACCGCATTCTTCCGAAGTTCAGACAAGAGTTGTTGTCACACTTGTGATCATCTTTTGCCTTTTCATTGCCAGAGGGTGCTTAACTGTGTGCGGAAAGATCATGCAGCAGAGGATTTCTTGTTTCCTTGCCTTATACTCTTAGGGACTTGGTCTTTCTGGTCTGGTGACATTTGAGGGGAGTGGGCATGTTGTTGATTGGGACCTTCGAGTCTGAGTTTAACTCGTTCAGGTGAGCTTGGGCGCCTCGGCACTTCACGCGCGAATTGTTTAGAGAAACGCCATGAAGGACGCCAGTGCCGGGATCGAGATGGGAAGCGGGTGTTGGGTTCATAGTTGCTTTGCTGCTGCTTCAGATCGGCAGGCATTATGGATCAAAAAAAGCGAGATCAACAGGAGGAGTTGCAACCATGTTGCATTCTTTCACATGCTGGACAGAACATTAGCAGGGTAGTTAGCCACTTCGCCAGGGTTTGACATGGTTCAGACAAACAGCTTGGATGCTTTATGATGCTTTCACCACTTTGCTTCGAAGATTCGATGACGGCTGCGCCTAGTGGGATGCATCTTGGCTGGTGCCCGATGTAATTGCTTCATTGCATGCAGGAACAGATAACATTGATGTTTCTGACCTATTCAAGTCATCATCACGCATGACACAAGGATGATTCTCATGTGTCCCTGGGCCTCAACAATCATCCCGTTTTCAGGGCTAGGTCCAGAGTGGTTGGAAAGCAAAGCTGTTGCCGCAATGCACCGTTTCCCGTTTCCCACCTGTTCACAGGCAATGCGCTGCCGCCGGCGCCGCTGGCCATGAATGAGGCATTTCTTGTGGAGAGTTGGGCAAGTTTCCGACGAAAAAAGCGGGTCGATGCTTTTCGACTTTTGACTCGGACTGGTCCTGGTACATCGCTACTAGCAGTAAGGACGCTAGTAGGTTGGAGGCAGGGTGGAGGCCATTACTACTACTCGAGCTTCAGATACAGAGACATGAAGAGGATCGTTGCAGTGGGGATGAATGGAGATGGAAGGGACCAGCAGGATGCCTCACAGAGGGAGGGGAAGTCTAGGTCATTTGTGGTCCCTGCGGACAACGGAAGAGCACAACTGTTTTGCTCAAGCCGACTCATACTGTTCCACCAACCCGATGAGAGAGGGTGTTGGGAGTCAGCTCAATTCAGCTAGCCAGTGCCGTGCAAGAAACATATAACTTTTCTGGCTGTCATTTGGAGATTGCAAATCGAGGCTTCTTTGGTTTGGCTGACCTAGGGACCGGTACTTTTGGCTTTCGTAGAGCGTCATTTGTTCCGTCACATTCCTTGACTTTTGACTGTTTGGGTGGGCTTCATGCACTCCGCACACGGTCTGTTGCCGCAGGATGGATGCAGCCGATTGGCGGAGTCGCTTCGACAAACTCTCAAAAGTAAGAACGGAGACTGTTGCATTGCAACTATAACAAGCATAGGGTCCCTTGATTTGAAGCGCACTTGAAGCTAGTATTAACAAGTGCAGCGCTTCTAGTAACAAGTGCCATGCTAGTAGGAACAAGGACGCTACTAGGAACAAGTGCCACGCTAGTAGGAACAAGTGCCTTACTACTAGTAACAAGCCGATCCCGTAGCCCCAGGTGATGGAGGCCAAAGTGCCTTAAGTGGCTCCACCCGGGTGCGCCGGTTGCGCCGGGTGTTTTTCTTTCTTTTTTAACAAAGAGCCATGAGTCATCATGGTGGCATTGCTGGATCCATTCTTTTTGTGGAGCCACTAAGCTACGTGTATACATATTAATTGTATATATAGTGACGGACTGAAACTTAGAATGCTGTTTTGGGAATCGCAACGACGGCCAAAACACACAGGTGGAGTAGCAAAAGTGAGCATTCCAAGTTCCGGTTACAGATGCACACTTAGAATGCCTACTGGATTTACTTCGGATTTCATCAAGGTGCTTTATTTTACCTCTTAGTTTGCAGGTTCTGAACACATAGAATGCTTGCACCCCCCAGGCATCCGGGTTAAGCAAGGCAACATGCAAAACTGCTTTATGTTTCCACAATGTTCCACCTTATTCTACAGGACTTGAACACATGGAATGCATGTGACTTCCAAAGTGGGAGAACTAGGATGAAGTTCTTTGATGATGCTTGCACGACGTCGGATCCAGTCTCAAGTGCATGAAGACTGAAGTGAGATC